CCCCTTCTCCTTCTCTTTCCCCCACGCTTGGGTTCCGTCTCCCCCAGGACTGGGTTCGACGCAACCCAAGCGTCGCCTGGGTTCCACCGAACCTAGTACGCCCATCGAACCCAACGCCTGGGTTCGATGCCCAGCATGCCTGGGTTCGATGAAACCCAGGCGCTGGGTTCCTTAAGACCCAGCCTTGAGTTCCAAAAAAAAAAAAGAAATTTCTGTTTTCTTTGTTTGGGTTTTGTTGTTTGATGATATGAGAAATTGATTGATGAAGATGAAGAAGGCAAGGCAACCGTTGGGTTTTTGCAGGTGGATGAAGATGAGGAAGGCATAAGTGCTGGGTTCAATTTCGAACCCAGCAAGCAATCGAACCCAGCAGCCGCTTGGTTCCTGTAGGTGCTAGGTTCAATTTTGAACCCAGCAGCCACTATGTTCAAGCTGGGTTCTTGCAGGTGCTGGGTTTGATTTCGAACCCAACAGGCACTGGTTCCGTTTCAAACCCAGCAACCGTTGGGCCAATGGATCTGTTGAGTTCCATTTGTTTATTGATTTGTTGTCTGTTGGGTTCTGTTTCAAACTCAGTCAATGGATCTGTTGAGTTCGATTTATTTATGGATTTGTTATCTGTTGTGTTATCCTCATATTCTTGCAGGTGTTGGATTCAATTTCAAACCTAGCAAGCGATGGGTTTTGTTTCCAACCCAACTGCAGTTGGATCGAAGGATCTATTGATTTTTATCTGTTGGTTTGTTGTGTTATTCTCGAATTTAATATTAGGAAACGTTAGGGTTTGCAAAAGGTGAAAGGAAAGGGAGAGGAAGAAGAAAGGGTAAAAAGAAAAACAAAGAAAGAAAAAAAAAGAAATTTTTTAAAGTAATTTTTTGCCATCTCATTTCTTTACCACGCTGTACATCCTAGGTGTCAAAATGTTTTAACATGTCATCCTTTTCTCCGTCAAGTAACAAGACACGTAGGTGAATATTTAACGGAAGGACCAAATCGGGGTTAAAATGGTAAACAATAGGGACCAAATCGGGGGTCCGTACAATAGTTCAGGGACCAAAATGGGGTTTTAACCTTTTGGTTTTGTTTCTGCAAAAGGTTGGAAGCCACCGACGAAGGTGGTTGAGATTGGGCAGGGAAAGGCAGACGGTGGTGACTTTAGTTTTTTTTATTTTTTTTTTTGGTGGAAGTTTGAGACTTTAGTTTTGTTTTTCAACTAATTTTATCTTTTAATTTTTAATTTAAATATATGATTTTTATTGTAACAATATAAAAAATAGAATAAAAAAATAAAA